CACATTGTAAACACTATACTAGACGTCATATTAATAAGGAACAAAATTAACATGAATTTAGCCCTCATGAAGCTTACAGTCCAGTTCATACGTATTTCTCAGTAGCCCATATTAGGAAAGTTGGTTTTATTTTATGAACGATGGGAAGCTACTGATACTATAATGTAATGCAATAACCATAATAAAATTTTGATGACAGCAAGGACCGTAATCTCTTATCCCTGTGACTAATCTCATTCTGGACATATAGTTGATAATTATAAATAAATATTTATTAATGATTGAGATTACGTACAGTAAATTAGCTGTGAAAATTCATACAGATATCAAATAGTGGAGTTGAATTTCAGTTACCATAAAAAGAAAAAAAATTGTATGTTTGTTAGGAAATTCTGAAAAGTTTCAGTAGAAGGAAATCTGTCAATACAACATCTTATGATGTTGAATGTAGCATAAGAGAATGTTTAGGAGGATGGTCTGTGTAGTTAAGTAGACAGATGCAGAATTGAATTCTCACTCATATTTAAATACTGTTCCCTGCTGGGCATGGTGGCTCATGCCTGTAATCCCAGCATTTTCAGAGGCAGGGGCAGGTGGGTCACTTGACATAAAACCCTGTCTCTACTAAAAATACAAAAATTAGCCAGGAGTGGTGGCAGGTGCCTGTAATCCCACCTACTCGGGAGGCTGAGGCAGGAGAATCGCTTGAACCTGGGAGGCAGAGATGGCAGTGAGCTGAGATTGTGCCACCCCAGCCTGGCTCCCATGGGAGCCTTTAACTTAACTACTGGGACCCAGTATCCCAAACTACTGCTCCCAGCTGGCTTGGAGAAGGGGATGGGACAGTGTGAGGAAGTGACTGTAGATCATAAAACCCTCTAGATTCGGAAGCAGTTTCAGCTCTGGTTACTGGATGCAGGCAGTCAATTCCTCAAGCAGGACCTACTCTATTGTATCCTCTGTGAGTTTCAGGGATAAGGGAGGGGAGCAATGCTGTGTTGGGCCAGGAGACCCTGGGTCATCAGAGGACTCAGCAGTAGACTTTCTCCTCATGCTTATATTGATCCCCATGAAAAAAGAAGAAAAAGTCCATGGGCTCTGATACAGATTGCATGAAGATTTAGGAATCCCAGTTGCTTCATGGAAGGCTCTTCTATAGTCTCAGCAATCTCATATTATTCCATACAAGGGATCCCATGTGTTCTGTGGCTGAGCACTTCATGCATGTGTGCCCAGAAATAGCAATCTAGGGAATTAAAAGAGGAAAAGAATGGTTCTGGGACAGCATTTTGAGTTAAATATGACACAAGTCCAAGAGGCTCAGGGCAAGAGCTGGTAAGGAAATGTGCTCATTGCCTTCTCCCAACATGTTCCAGTGTTAATGAGATAAAAAGGTTCCTCTCATTATTAGACATGATTTATAGCCAGCAGAAACAGACTTCATTGTGATTTTTTTCCTAAAAGCCCTAGTTTTCTCTTCTTCCCCTTGAAGGTCAGTCATATGTTTTGGAAGACTGCACTTAGTTAAAATATCTATTTCTTAAAATGAGTTTTTAGTATTTTCTTTATCCTGAGTACTTTTTTCTGTGTGGTACAGTTTCAGAAGTGGTCCCTAAATCAGGGTGCATTGAATTGGACACAATATTCAAAGCATAGTTGAACAAAAGCAAAGCAGAATAAAAGTTATCCACTTCTCTCTGATCACTGTTACTTCTGTTAGTGCAGTGTTCCTTTATAATAGTTATTAACAGAATATATCAAAAATCTGATTCATATTCATGTCTATAACTCCATCTGACAGTATGTTCATGTATCTAGCCACTTTTTCTCTACTGCCATTCCTTTTCATACTCTCCTCTCTTATCCTTTATACTAAGTACAGTCTTCTTAGTAAAATCCAGGTAGCAGAGGAGGAATTCAGTTAGAATAATTCTCCACAATGTGAGAGAGGAATGAGGACTTGAAGAGGATGAATCAGAGTCTGGGAACTGTAAAGCACAATTGTAAATGGGGACTACACATAAGAGGCGGGAAAAAGCACAAGTTAAGGAAAGGATTCAGAGACAGTGGACTAAGGAAGAGAGAATGAGCAGAGGGCGAGAAATGAGAACACTTTAAGGTGATGGGATATTTTCTGCAGTGGTGGATTGCAAGATCTCTCAGACATTCTCTTCATTTGGAGGAACTACCAGGTAGTTTGGTGGCACTGTAGGTATGAAGGTAATGACCTAGTAGGTCAGTGGGGTGAATCAGGGGTATTCCCCCACCAACTGTCAGGCTTTCGGGGCCAGAGAGCACTAAAATTGAATGACTTGTTTAAAATCCCCCAAGCTTCCACAAGAGATTTGTGCTGTCACTGTCCCTACCTCTGGCCCACAGCTCACTCAGCTCCTATTATCCTGAGCTTCTCCCTGTGGCTTGCCTCAGTTTCCACAAAGAAACTAGGTCCCTTGGTTTCTTTGGTTAGTATTTTCCTTTTTTTTTTCCTCCTTATTTCAGTCTTTAAAAGTCAACACCCTTCCCACAATTAAGACATTTACCTCACAAGCATTTGTTAACAATTTATTAAGTTCTGGATGCTGTAAAAACAACATGAAATAAAAAAAGAGAAAATACGTTCTATGTACTTCAGAGATTTTACGGTGGATTGGGGAGAGAGAAGAGAGAAAGTTAGGCAGTGGTGTGTTTTGTGCAGTATTTAAATGGAAATAGTAGTTGTCTCCCCAAAGCTGTGGCTTTATCATTTTTTCCCCATTTTTATCACCAATATTTTTCTTCCTAGTCTTTTGCCCCTCAGTTTAAATGTATTCACATTGTTTTTTGTTAAAAAAAAAGTGTATGTATTAATACATGCTGTTCTACCTGTGCATTCAGTTTTGCCTCCTTGTGAAACTGTTTGTTGAAGTGAAGATCTCCGATGAGGTGATCAATCTTCTCTGTGTCCATTCACTCCAGCCCTGCTGTCTCTCTGTTTTCCCGCATTCTGTTTCTCTCTTCAAATGAAACTGTTTGCTTGGACCACCAATGATTACCTAATTGCCAAATACAATGGATAATCTCTTTCTCACATTACTGAAATTCTTCATGTGAGCATATCTGTTCACTCCATTTGATTTTCAATTATGTCTCTGTTCACTCCTTTTAGGTCTCCTTGCAATCTCTTTACCTCTTTTGGTCCTAAGATTAAGGGTAGGCTTTTCTTAGGGTTCTATTTTATGCCCTTTTTGTCTTTAATTTATATATTCTCCATAAGTATATCTATTTAAGTCCTATGGTTTGAGCTATATGTTATGTGTTGATGATTTCCAATTCTTTAACCTTCAAGTGAATTTAAACTGCTTTCTCTAACATTTCATTTCATATATATTTTGATAGTTTACAGATCCAATAAACTCAACAAATCAAAATTGGATCCATAATCTGCCTCCACAACATATATGAAATCTTTTGAGAGCCTATATTTTTGTTTTGTGAAACTTTCTTAGTCATTTGAGTCAGAAAAGACAGTGCAGTCTTAGAATTCTACCTTTTCTTCTTCTATGCAACTAGTCTAATCACTGTCTTTATATCACTATCATTATATTTATACCTCTAAAACATGCCCATTTTCCTCATCCTCAAAGCCATTTATTCACCCACTGACTACTTCTCAATTGGACTACTGAAGCCAACAGTTGCTTTTCTGCTTTTACATGTCCTTTGCCTCCTTTGGTCCTTTAAGTTTGGGTGTGAAATAGGAAGAAGAAAGAGATTGGTATTTTTCTCAAAAAAATGAAATCATGGTCTTTATCCAAATGAGGATGTGAGATAGATGAAGAAAATAATTAAGATACGAGAGACTTGAACATTTTGAATATCCATGGGAAGGATTTAGGAAGAGTTGAATACATAGGGAATGGGCTGCATAATTCGTAAGTCAGGGTTCCTAAGAAGGTCAAGGTGAATAGAACCAAATTGTGAGGTCAAGGATTGCCATTCAGAGGAAGGCTAGATCCTTGATTCTGCTGGTGCAATAAGGAGAGCAAGGATGTAGATGTTGATGAGTTTATGAGTCAATCATGGGAAGTAGAGGACTTGCATCTGATGTTTCTACTGCCTTTACGAAGCAGTTAGAGAGATTATCTGAGAGAAGAGGAGATTTAGTATTTGAAAATAACAGAAAATATGAAAAATTGCTTGAAGTGGGTAGAGGAATGAATTAACCAGAGAAAGCTATTGTCATCAATACGTGTACTAAGTTCTCATTTTAGGTTAGTGGTTATAAATGTTAATGAAAACAGCATAACCTTTGAGTCTAACTTTCTATAGGAACATTGAATTGCACCTGTGCAGGCTTGGATTAAGTATGTCTAGGATGGGTTGTGACACAGTACAATATGTCAGAGTGATAGGGAGCTTGGGAGTTCCTCTATATATTTAATCAATATTTATTTTTATTTTCCTCTAGTTTATAATAGGGTTGGGAGTATATCATACATCTTTTCCATCTCAAATGTACTTTGGTGTATAATAAAAAGAGAGGAATAATTATTTTCCCCCTATCTAACAAATTATGCATTACTTACTGAAAGGACCCTGTAATTAAATTATTTTATGACATATTTATTAATTCTAGATTACTCTGTAAACTTTTGGGTGTTTCTAGCCCGCGGGATATATAAACTATTCAGTTTGCTTTGCCAGTATAATTTTGATTTTTTTTGTATTTTACAGCATGTTTTAATGACTTTTTAAAAATCATTTTCCTTCTAAACCTTTATCTAGTCTGTTTTATTTGCTTTTTCTAAATTAACTTCAGAAATAATTTACTAAACCTTTCACTACTTATGTTAATATTTACTAAAGTTTGCCTTCATTTGGGATTGGTTGTCTGTATCTCATACATTTTATAAATTAGAAAGTGTTAGCAAATATTTTAACAGCTTTGTTTTCTATTTCTAATTCCTGTGTCTTATCAAACACAATTTCAGGTGAAATTTTCTCAGCTGAGAATTTATTTCATGACATTACCCAGCAACAACTCCACTTCCCCAGTCTTTGAATTCTTCCTCATTTGTTTCCGCAGTTTCCAGAGCTGGCAGCACTGGCTGTCTCTGCCCCTCAGCCTCCTCTTCCGCCTGGCCATGGGGGCCAATACCACCCTTCTGACCACTATCTGTATGGAAACCTCTCTGCACCAGCCCCTATACTACCTGCTCAACCTCCTCTCCCTGCTGGACATTGTACTCTGCCTCACCGTCATCCCCAAGGTCCTGGCCATCTTCTGGTTTGACCGCAGGTCAATCAGCTTCCCTGCCTGCTTCCTTCAGATGTTCATCATGAACAATTTTCTGACTATGGAGTCCTGTACATTCATAATCATGGCCTATGACTGCTATGTGTCCATCTGCAAGCCCCTACAGTACTCATCCATCATCACTGATCAATTTGTCGCTAGGGCTGCCATCTTTGTTGTGGTCAGGAATGGCCTTCTTACTATGCCTATCCCCATACTTTCTTCTCGATTCAGATACTGTGCAGGACACATCATCAAGAACTGCATCTGTACTAACGTGTCTGTTTCTAAACTCTCTTGTGATTACATCAACTTGAATCAGCGCTACCAGTTTGTTACATGTTGGACCCTCCTGGGCTCTGACCTCATCCTTATTGTTCTCTTATTTTTTTTATCTTGAAAACTGTGCTAAGTATCAAGGCCGAGGGTGCTATGGCCAAGGCCTTGAGCACGTGTGGTTCCCACTTCATCCTAATCCTCTTCTTCAGCACAGTCCTGCTGGTTCTGGTCATCACTAACCTGGCCAGGAAGACAATTCCTCTGGATGTCCCCATCCTGCTCAACATCCTGCACCACCTCATTCCCCCAGCTCTGAACCCCATTGTTTATGGTGTGAGAACGAAGGAGATCAAGCAGGGAATCCAGAACCTACTGAGGAGGTTATAAAAAATAAAATGAATGCGACCTGATCTTGAAAACAGAAATTGATATTGGAGAATAATTGTTATGATACATAGAAAATTTAAATTGTTACTGTAAGAGTAAGTTTAGAGTTGACTTTCTTTAGTGTTTCAATTGATTATAGGGATATCTACTCATTGGCTCCTGCTTTCTGTTTCACTGACTGGAATCTTAGTGTTTTGGCATTCTAGAATTGTTTGGAAGTTTTTCCTGACTTCATCTATGTGAGTACAAATTGACAAGCCATAATCACTGGAGCATAGAATGGTATGGTTTTCAAATAAATGAGAAATATAATTCTAATTATTTTAAATGTTTCTCAATTCCTATATTGTTTAATACATATATATGTGTTAGATGTCTTGGTTTTCCCTGACTCAGCTCAACATGAATAATTTTTTTTTTTTTTTGCCATGAATGGATCTCTCATGGACATACAGATGTTGACTCAAGAACTTTGATTCTTATGTAGAGTGAATAACATGTGACATTCACTGCCTCCTCTATCCTTGACAGATCTTGTCGATACTTTTATCTAATGCTACTTATTTGGAGTGCGAATTTCTTATTTTTTTTTCCTAGTGATTTTTACATCTTAAGATGACTCATATTTATGTGTGTGTGTGTGTGTGTGTGTGTGTGTTTTAAGTGAATCTGTGTGACCTTTTTTTAAGATATGTTTTACCAACTTCTGACTTCATACTATCCTACCTGATTTTCCATCGTATTTCTGACACCATCTGTATTCCTACCCTTTCCTACTTGTCTTAGACATACAGTTAAACTGTCTTTCTCATCCTACTTTCAGTCCTCTTGTCTCAATCTTCATGTCCTGTCCCTGGGCCAGCATAGCTTCCCATAGGATCCAGACATCTGAATTAGTGAGCTTTTAGAACAAGGATAAGTATGTTTTACACTTTGCAATTTTTATCCTCATCATGCTCTGAAAATGGTGGGACCTATATACTGACCAGTATTTCCTGGGATTAATTGACATTTAGTAGCTAGTCCCCTTTTTGTTTAGTAATATAGCACTTCATAGATATTATTTTTGAATCATTTCAGAGTGTCTCCTAATCTATAATAATCAAATTATTCTTGGAAGACTTATAAGTCAGTTTATCTTTTCTTTTCTTTTTTCTTTTTTTGATGTAGGGAGATAGGGTCTTACTCTATAGCCCAGGCTGGAGTGCAGTGCCACAATATTGGCTCACTGCAACCTCTGCCTCCCAGGTTTAAGTGATTCTCCCACCTCAGCCTCCCAAGTAGCTGGGACTACAGGTGTGCACTACTATGCCTGGTTAGTTGTTTTTTTTTTTTTTTTTTTTAGAGACGGGGTTTCACCATGTTGCTGAGGTTGGTCTTGAACTCCTGGGCTCAAGACATCCACCCTCCTCAGCCTCCCAGAATGCTGTGATTACAGGTGTGAGTCACCATGCCTGGCCCAATTTATTATTTCTATAGTATTGTATTTCACCAAAACAATAGTTTTGATTTCTATCTTCCCTCCTTCTGAACTTCAAAGACTGATCCCAATCAAAATACAATTGTTTTCACTCTTCTATTTACCTATCATGCAAGTCAGCTCCTAGCTCATTTTTTTTCACATTATGCCCCTCCTATATGTTTTTCTTAAAGTCTGTGTTCCAGTATCCTCTTCCAAATAAAAAACAACACCACTCTTTTCATTTGAAAAACTATGTCCATCTTGTGAGTCTCAGTTTAAACTCTACCTACTCCACAAACCCTTCCTTTATTTACCCCAGTGGAATTAATATGACTTTCTTGAGTCATGTGTATTTCTCCCTTTGGTAGTAGATTACAAACTCCTCTGAGTCTGGTGAAGAGTTTTATTCATCTTTTCAACTTTATATATTCTATTGCTTTAATATAATGCTTTACATATTTAGTTATTTTGGGGAATAAAAGTGAATATTATGTGCACATTATGATTCTTATTTTTTTCTTATTTTCCCTTCTTAAGGAAAGAATCAAATTATTAATATAATGTATTCTCCAAATATACCTACAAAAAGCCTTATATAACTCACAGTTCAATGCAATCTTATCTACCATAGAACTTAAGCCTGCTTATTGGGATGAGACTGATTTTTATTTATGTTCCAGGCACACTAATTTGGCCACTGATAAGATGTGTGACTTTTGACTCACCAATCTCAGTATGAGTTCTAATTTTCTCATTTAAGATGAGTAATAATTAATTACCCTCTTACTATTTGATTTTTCTGTTTGCTGGATAAACTGGATGACTTAATTTATAAAACATTTTTTAACCAGAGCCTAAAACATGCTATTAACTTACAAGTGGAAACTCATTTTATTATTTTCTTATGTACATTGATTTCTCAAATGTCTTCTTTTTATTTGGGAGGAAAGTGGAGCAAAATATTGGAATAGGATTCTCCAGTGACCGTTCTCCCATAAGAACATGGGAAATGGATAATTTTTTCCTCCCATAGGAAATGGATAATTTGAATAATTATCTGTGCATTAAATATCTTTACAAGAGCTAAGAAAACCAGGTGAGTGATCACAGCCTCTGGTTATAACATAATGATAAGAAAAGAGACATTGAAGGGGGTAGGAAGGACAATTTTACCTTACACATGTTATCCATCCCCCAACATCAGGGAACAGTGCAAAGAGAGAGATACTATCTTAGGGAAAGACAGAGAAGTAAGCATTGGACTTTGCTTGGACCTCAATCCTGGGCCATGCCATAGTAAAACCCAGCACCAGACAGACCTACATGCCAATATCTCTAAACTGAACCTCTAGATCTGCCTCAGTGCCAGATGGAAACTCATAGACATGTATGAGATGGACTTGAATTCTGGCCTGCATCACCACTGGCTGACTATAGCAGCTTTGGACTCCAAATAACCCATAACTACATGCAGATCTCAACGGCCATGAGCTTTGGGTGCACCCCACTGCTGTGCCAGCCTCAGAAGGGATCACTGAATTCTAGCCTGGCCCTATATCAGTCTCAGAAGCCATAGAATTCCAACCCACTGCTGCACTGGCCACAGAAGTCGTAGGCTTAGAGTACCCCCAGGTCTTCAATGACTGCAGGGGTTAGGAAACCCCTAAAAACGACAGGTTTAGGAAACACACCAGATGACTGGTTCAAAATTTCTGGACAGGATTATTGTTGAAAAATATTCCCAGACAAAGCAATACTGTGAAGACTGATATAAGTACCTACCTTTTCAATAGGCAGACGTCAACTTATAACCATAAAGGTCAAGAACAATCAGGGAAGCATGACATCACCAAGTGGACAAAGTAAGGTGCTGGCAATTGCCCCTGAAGAGATGGAGATGTATAAATTGAGTGATAGAAAATACAAAACAACTATTTTAAAGAAGCTTAACAAACTTTAATAAAATGCACAGAAACAATTCAAGTAAATAAGGAAAATAATAACTAACCGAAATAAAAACTATTACAAAGAAATTGAAAGAATAATATAAAAATCAAACAGAAATGCTGAGCTGAATATTACAATGAATAAAATGAAAAATATAATAGAGCATCCACAGCAGAATTGCTGAAGCAGAAGAAAGAATATGTAGACAGAAAGACAGGTTATTGAAAAATACATAGACAGAGGAGAAAAAAAGAACTAAAAAGAATAGAGAAAGCTTATGGGATTTAGGGGATAGCATCAAAAGATAAAATGTACAATGCACAAGTTATTGGCATTCAAGAGTGAGTAGAGAAAGATAAGGGAGTAGAAATATTATTTAAAGAAATAATAGCAAAATACTTTCCAAACCCAGGGAAAGATATAAATATCTAGGTTAAAGAAGATCAAGATCACGAATGAGATTCAATACACCTAAGACTACTCCAAGACATATTATAATAAAACTGTCAAAGCTCAGACAAAAAGGGGATCTTGAAAGCAGCAAGAGAAAATAAATAAACAAATAACATATAAAGAAGCTCCAATATGTCTAGCAAGACTTCTCAGCAAAAATCTTACAGGCCAGGAGAAAGCAGAATAATATACTCTGGAGGTGGCACCTAAAATGGCCGAATAGGAACAGCTCCAGCCTCCATCTCCCAGCGTGAGTGACACAGAAGACGGGTGATTTCTGCATTTTCAACTGAGGTACCAGGTTCATCTCACTGGGGAGTACTGGACAATCGGTACTGGTCAGCTGGTGCAGCCCGACCAGGGAGAGCTAAAGCAGGGTGAGGCATCACCTCACCTGGGAAGCACAAGGGGGAAGGGAATCCCTTTTCCTAGCCAAGTGAAACTGAGACACACAACACCTGGAAAATTGGGTAACTCCCACCCTAATACTGTGCTTTACCAAGGGTCTTAGCAAACGGCACACAAGGAGATTATATCCCACACCAGGCCCGAAGGGCCCTGCCCACGGAGCCTCCCTCATTGCTAGCACAGCTGTCAGAGATCTAACTGCAAGGCGGCAGTGAGGCTGGGGGGGAGGGGTGCCCACCATTGCTGAGGCTAATGTAGGTAAACAAAGCCACTGGGGAAGCTCAAACTGGGTGGAGCCCACCGCAGCTCAGGCAGACCTGCCTCCCTCTATAGACTATTCCTCTGGGGACAGGGCATAGCTAAACAAAAAGCAGCAGAAACCTCAGCAGAGGTAAATGGCCCTGTCTGATAGCTTTGAAGAGAGCAGTGGATCTCCCAGCATGAAGGTTGAGATCTAAGAATGGACAGACTGCCTGCTTAAGTGAGTCCCTGACCCCTGAGTAGCCTAACTGGGAGATACCCACCACTAGATGCAGACTGACACCTCACATCTCACACGGCAGGGTACACCCCTGAGACGAAGCTTCCAGAGCAAGAATCAGAGAAAGCAACACTCTCTGTTCAGCAATATTCTATCTTCTGCAGCCTCCGCTGCTGATACTCAGGCAAACAGGGTCTGGAGTGAACCTCAAGCAAACCCTAACAGACCTACAGCTGAGGGTCCTGACTG